CCATCTGGGTGCGCCTGTAACTCTGCTGGCCAATAATGCAGCAAAATTGATGTTGCATGACTTCTGAGGCTTGATGGGAAAAGGCAATACAACTTCTGTTTTGTTCCTTGGAATGCTGGTCCTGGAGCCCTGCCCTGCTCTGCATGTAGTCTGACGGCCCTGATGCAATCCTGTGGGGCAAGAACTGAAAGGAACCCATATGTAGAGACCATGTCGGAAAACCCTGCAACTACCTAGAGAGAGAAAGGCCCAGCTAGCCCCTGGCTGCTCCAGCATCCTGCTGTTTTGGCTCCATTGTGTAATCGTCACTGATCAGACACCCAGAGCCAGAAATGCCCAGCCAGGAGCTCCCCAAATTCTTGACCTGTAGAAACCGTCAGAGATAATAAAATGATTGCTGCAATTTTAAACTGCTAAGTTACGGGGTGATTTGTTAAACTGCCATAGTAATTGTTATTATTCCCAGAATCGGTGAGAATGAGTTAAAGCAGTTGTTATCAGTGAGGTTTCTTAGTTATGAGAGAAACTGACTCTGGCCAACTGAAGCAAAGTTAGTGAGGTAAATGCCTAAATTAAGAAACTAGAAAATCAAATGAAAAAGAGAACGGAAGGAGGGAGATCAAGATAAAGAGCAGAAATCAGTGAAATTGAAAACAAATATAGTGAATCAATAAAGTAAAAAATTGAGCCTTTTAAAAAGCTGATAGATATCTATCTTAAGAAGGACTGATTAGGAAAAAAGAAAAAGCACAAATAAAACTAGGAATGAGAAATTATAGAATCGACAGATTTTAAAGAGATAAGAGAATAAACTTAATTTCAATAAATTTGAAAACTTATCTAACATGTACAAACTCCTAGAATAATAATTTATCATGCTGACTCATGAAGAGTAAGAAAGGCTTAAATCTAATAACCAGTATGGCTACTGTTTATCTCATGTGACTTTTGACACTTGAAACATGGCTAATGCAACCGAGGGACTACATTTTACATTTTACTTGATTTTGACTAAATTTAAATTAAAAAACTAGAACAGTGTGAAATATTTTTCTGTTAAAGAAAACGTGACTCTTGGTAGGACTATTCTGCTTTAACCATTCAGTCTTGTAAGTGCCTCCCTTGGCCTCTCTTCATCTTGGGGTGACAGGCCTCTAATATTCAGGCTCTTCCGTCCTTTGTCCACATTCAGATTGACCTGTGCAGTGTTCAGTTTCCTAGGGCCCTGGTGTTAATGGATACAAGGGTCACTGAGGTAGCTTTCCCAGGAAATAATTTGCATTTTTAAACAGATGACTTTTGAAGCCTGTCACTTCGTTCAGCAGAGTCAGTGTTTGGATCAGGAATGAGGAAGGTGGAGTGGGTAGAAATCCACTATGAGTAATCTGAGAATCCCTGCAGAGTGAGCCATAGACTCCACAGGATTAACACTTGAGGCTCCTTGGATGACAGCACAAAAGACAGCTTGCCCTGCAGCGACACAGCACTCTGGCACTGCTCAGCCCTGTGCCGCGCAGCTTCCTCCTCTGGCACCGATGAGCTCAAAGCGCTTTGTGACCAGTGGTGTGGCTGTTGACTGACCAGGGTTATCTAGCTTTATAGCCTCTGACTGTCACCCACAAAGCTTCACAGGAAGGAGGTGGTCTTTCAAAAACGTGAGGCTCACAAACACAGATTTAATTCATAGGCATTATCACAGAACAGAGGGTCTTATTTCCTTTGCATTGGCTAATTTTCAGTTCCATTCTCCTTTAAAAATTTAAATGGCAGTCTCCCTCAACCCCTCTACCCCCACCTCCCACCCTTTTAAAACAGACTTCATTTTTAGAGCAGTTTTAGGTTCCTGGCAAACTTGAACAGGAAGTACCTAGTTCCCACATACCTTCCATCCCCATAAATAGCCTCCCCCCACTATCAACACCTGGCACCACAGTGGTACGTTTGTTACCACAGATAAACTGTACTGACACATAATCTGATGTCCATAGTTTAGTGTTCACTCTTGGGGTTGTACATTTCACATGTCTCCACCGCTGTAGTATAATACAGAACAGTTTCACTGCCCTAAAAAAACCACTGTGTGCTACCTTTTCACCCCTCCCTCCCCTCAACCAATGGTATTTTTACAATCTCCAGAGCTTTGCCTTATCCAGAATGTTACATAGTTGGAACCATACAACTATATGAAAAGGAACGTATGCAGCCTTTTCAGAGTGGCATCCTCTTTTCTTTTCTGCCTGCTAGATTGTTCATACCGGCCTCATTTTACCTGAGTAGCAGATGGTAGTTGGTGCATAAAAGGAAAAAGCAAGTCACAGAAGTGTTGCTTGAGAACCTCTTGAACTGCATCACAAAGGGTGATAAAGCACTGAGAAAGGGAGGGAAAGAGGGCCACTGTGGTTAGAGAACTGTGCTTACAGGGCGGCAGGAGAGCCTTGGAAAGAGAAGCAGGGCCCATAGTTCGTGCAGGGCTTTGCAGGTCAAAGTAAGGTGCTGCAATTTTTTCAAAGTGCAATAGAAAGCTATTGGGTTTGAGCAGAGTAATCCATTTAAAATTGACACTATGCCAGGGAGAAGTGACTGTAGGTGGACTATTACAGAAGCCCAGACAAGAGATGATGTTGGCTTGGTTTAGAGTAATAGCAATACCTAAGGTGAGAAGCAGAGAGACTGAGGACATGTGATGAAGGTAGAATAGCTTCAGATTTGTTAATGGATTAAATGAGCTATAAAAGGCAGGAGATAAAGTTTGGTGGGGGTGGAGCAGGGGAGAGAGGGAGAGAGGGAGAGAGAGAGGGAGAGGAAGGGAGGGAGAGAGAGGGAGGGAGAGAGGGAGAGAGAGAGAGAGGAAGGGAGGGAGAGAGAGGGAGGGAGGGAGGGAGGGAGAGAAATAGAAAGAAAAGAAACCTAATTTGTTGGCTTTAGGAACTGACAGGTTAACCAAAACAGTAAAGTTTGAGATGGGGAAGGAAGGTGTGTGTGAGTATGAGATGATGAGATGGGGGAGGGGGTAGAAGGGGTGTTGCACATGTAAAAATGTCTTACAGGGTACATTTCCTGCAACATTTTATACTGAACAATTTCAAAGAGCAAATTGGAAAGAATTTTACATCTAAAATATTTTCATTCCATATACAACATCTAAACTAACATCTTGCTCTACTTACATTTATCTAGGCCTCCATCCATCAGCCCATCTTGTTTTTGTAATTCATTTAAATTGCAGACATCAAAGCACTTCCCTCTGCATACCTCGGCAAACATGTCGTGTTTCCAGTTTTCCTTTTGATGTAAAATTTACATACAAGGTGAACGCACAAATCAAGTGTGAATTTACTGAATTTTGACACATGCACACACCTGTCTACACCTTAAACTTGAGGTGTGTAAGGGCGTATATAATCAAACGGGGCTGCTGGATGTAGGAGTCTTGGTCTGAAATCTAAATTCGGCAATCATCGCAACATAGATAGGTCTTCTCTGACTATGGGACTGGATGAAATCACGGGTGTAGAGGGGACAGAAAGGGGCTGTGTCCCCAGAAAGTCCAGCGTTTGGAGGTCTGCCGGGCGGGAAGTCCAGGGTTGGGCTGGGGATCGGGGTTGGGCTAGCTCTAGGTAAGTTGGCCCGGCCCGGGGTCCTGAAAAGCCGGTCTGCCTGGCGCCACAGGCGGCCCTCGGAAACCCTCCAGGTGACGGGAGGTATCCCCAGGTGGGGGGGCAGCTCTAGGGAGGGCAGCGTGGCGGAGCTCCCAGTCCGAGGCGGGAAGGTCGGCCTGGGGAAGAAAGGGGAGGGGAAAGCGGAGCCAGGACGGGGGAGAAGGGACATGGGAGGAGGAGAGGAAAGCAGACGGAGGGAGGCGGCGGTGCGGCGGTGTGGCGGTACGGCGGGAGGGGGCGGAGTCGCCGCAGCGGCCGGCGAGGGGCGGGCGGAGGGAGGGGTGTGTGTGTGCCCGGGTCACGTGGTAGCGGCTGCCCTCCCCGTCACTCGTTCTCGCCGCTGCGGTGCGCTGGCTGCAGGAAGCCGCCGTGCCCCGCTTTTGTTGTCAGGGACCCCGCGAGAAGCGCCGCTCGCCAGCCGCCGCCGCCCTTCCTCCCTGCAGCCCGCTCTTCGGCCGCGGGGCCCGGTCCTGGGCGCCCCGCCCGCCCCGCCCTGCCCATGAGGAGGCCCCGCGACCCCCTCTGCCTCCAGCCCGGGGCGGCGCGGCGCTGAGGCGGAGGCGGCGCTGCCACCTCTGCGGGAAGCGGGCCGCCGCGGCCCCCTCCCAGGACATCATGGAGGTGAATGCGGGTAAGAGCCGGACTGCGGCGGCCGGGGTGCCGCGGAGGGGGCGCTCGGAGCCGTTGGAGCACTCCAGGGCGCGGCAGCGGGGGGTGGTCTGCAGCGCGTCCTCCTCGGGCTGGGCTCCCGCGTCACACCCCGGGACGCCCCGCGGCCGCCCTCCATGCTCCCTGCACCGCCGCAGCGCGGCCAGGCGGCGCCGGCCCGGCCCCCACCTCACATGGCCCGTTCGCGCGAGCCACGTGCGTGCTGTGTTTACGTTCGGCGGCGCGCGGGCGCCGGTTGGCTGGAGGGGCGCGTGACGCGGCATTACATAATGGGCGCTGAGGCGGTGGCGGCGGGCGGGGACACGTGAGGCCTCTCGGCTCGGTGACCCACATTCCCCGGGGCCGCAGGGACACGTGGGGGCGGTCCCGCGCGCGCGCGCCGGCGGGGAACGCCGCAGCCTCCCGGGAGGCCCGCCCCCCTGGAACCCTCCGGCTGTGACGTGGTGCGATTTCCTCGCCCCCGCGGGGTTGCACACTGCGGAGGAGGTCGTGGCGCGCGCGCCGTGGAGCCCGCGGCCCGGCAGCCTGAGGCGGGCGTGGACGCCGCAGTGCACCGGCTGCCGCCAGCGGGGCCGGGCTGAGGGTGACTGAGGAAGTGCGGGGCGGGGGCGCGCCTCCGGCCGGAAGGTGCGGGACTTCCCCGCGCGAGACCCTCCGAGGAGCTGTGGGGTGCTTGGATCTCGAGCAACGTCCTGTAGTCGGGGCAACGCCCGCGACCGTTGCGATGTTTGCTTACCTCTTCCCAAAAGATAGTTTCATCCGGGACACGACCTCTCTGACCCATCCCCTCGTGCTGGGAGCCTTATACACGGATCCCATCCAGAGCTAACCGTTCAGCTCTCGAGAGGGCAGGATGACCCAGGTACTAAGTGACTCCGAGACCTTGTGTAAGACTAGTCATTGTTCATTTTGTGAATTTTTTAAAGCCAGTGGGTCACTGACCTTTCCCTGACTCAACAGAATTCGGCTTTATAAATTTTCTTTTACATTTCCTTTTATAACGCGCAGGGCAGCACAGTGCTTCTGTCTCCCCTGTGCCTGTCGCCAAATAACGGCCCTCCTTATACCTGGAGCCAGTGAAGTTGCAGAAGAAACCAATCTATTTTTAAAATTTATTCTGTGGCCCCCAAACCGTGCCTTCATAACAAATGTGAATTTTCTGCCAACAGTAAAAGTAATTTTTAAGCTACGATTTAATTGCCTACGGCCTTCCTTGGTCTTTGAGGATATTTTTTTTAACAATTGGGTAATTCTGTTATGGAATTAAACTGTTAACGGTGAGAATTTAGAGTTATCAGGATGAACCTCTTCTGACTCCACCTTTTGCATGAATGAATTTCCCGTTTTGCAGCCCCATAAGGTGGGCAGTTTTTCTCTGGTTTGAACCTTCCTCGAACAATACAACTATTTAATGTTGCCTTTTGGAGTTACAAATTATGACATTTGGATCACTGTTGATTCCCCTCTTCTTCACTTCCCCTTCTTCCATTTCTATTCCTATCCCTTGGGCCTTGCTCAGTGTTGTTTATTCTGATCATCATCCTTGTTGCCTTTTGGGCTGTAGCACCCAGAAGTGAACAGGCTCTGGTGGAAATGTTGGACAGTTACCAAGTTCTAAGTCTTGGATTCTGCTGCAAATTGCTGGCTTGGCTTTTGTGGCATGTTGTTTTGCTGACTCACACTAACCTTGCAATCAACTAGGACCTTTTCATGTGAATTATTTTGAAGCTAGGTTTCATCCATTGTAAAGCTAATTGGTTGACCTGAAGTGTAGTGGTTTGCAATTACCCTTGTTAAGTTTTCTCTTGCTCCTTTTGGCTCCAAGTTCAGGCTGTTAAAAGCTGTTATCCAGTATATTAATTTCTGTCATCTCTGTTAGAGTTTTAATAAACATGCCCCCTGTCTTCAGATTGTTGTAAATGTGGAGGTGGAGCTAAATTCAGTGATGTATGACACACCTCTAAACCTTCCCTTTGGGTTGATTCATTGTATCAGTCAATACACCTGCAGCCAGTGGCCAAATCATCTGTTGCCCTATAATTCATGACACATTGCTTCTCTGCCCTCTCCATGACTAATATAGTTGTGAAATAGTGAGGTGGTAGAAATGGACTCTGTACTTTTTTGTCACAGACAGATTTTTATTGAGTATTCCAGGTTCTTTAAAGTGATAATGACATTGCGCAAATAACAACTGTAGCTATAATTCAGATTTTAACATTAGGAAAACATTCCCACATAGTCCATTCTTAGTAACTCCATATTCTACTGTTTCTCCAAAATTGGAAAGAAAACATAGGGAGCTAAGGGTAAAGAAATCTTCACTTGGAGAGAGAAAGAGCAAGATAATGGGCAGAATCAGAAGTGAAGTAGGAAGTGGCTTCCCTAGTCAGTGGAGCTAAGGGATTCAGAATGTACTGTGGAAACAGTGATCTACAGAGAAACCACTGGGTCCATATGACACATTCAGCTGAAGGAAAAAATAAAAGATCGGGTTTGTTTTATTTGAACTATTCTTTGAATTCTTCTAGTATAATGATGGTTAAGTATTACTTGCCAGTATTTGTTGAGCATTTATTATGTGCCAGTCCCTTCCCATGTGTTATACTTTGATACCCTACGTTAATTCTATGAAGGGAAGGTACTGCTGTCACCATTTGAAGATGAGGGGTAAAGTAAGTGAAGTTAAGTAACTCACTCAGGCAAGTGGTAGAGCCAGGTTTTGAATCCACAGAGTCTACTTGGGGAGCACAAGTGAACTACTATACTGTAATAGGTTCAAGCCCATATTAGGTTTGAAGTTGCATGCACAACTTGGTGGTCCTATCCTCTTGGGGGTGAAGGAGACACTGTGGATCGACTTGATACAGGGCCATAGCTAGTAGAAAAGGTCAGGTGTCAGCAGAGCCCCCCAATTTCATCATTCCTTTCTTTTTTAATCTTGTTACAATTTTTTTTTCCAGACACTAGATTATACTTCCCCCTTTCCGCTTTTTCCAGCAATTTACGTGGAGACAAAAACACTTTTTTACAAAAGAACACCTATTCATTTTTTGTCACCCTGTTTTTTTGTTTGCTATCTTAAGTAATCTATGAAGTGGTACATCATTTAATTCACATCTTGTTCAGGACCCCACTTATTGTCATCTTGGCTCTGCTTGCTCCTCCTGACCTCTGCCGTCTGTAGTGCTCTTGTGTGATCCTCAGCAGTTCAGAATAATTTGTATGAAACATTGCATTGCACTGGAATGAATGGTTAACATAGCTGTTTCCCCAGTTGACCTATCAGGCTTTTTTAGGGATGGGACCATGCTGTTTCTGGAGCTCTGATCCTCAGGACCCAGTAAGAATTTTAGGGTTTCATAAAGAACTACTCCATCCTGTGAGTAGACATTATTAATAATCTGCTTTTAAAATGAGAAAACTACAGCTTGATGGTAAAAATGTTTTGTTCTAAGTCACAGGGCAAAAAGTACAGTTATGACTTGAACTCACATGTACTTTCCAGGTTGGTGGGCAGTGGGGGTGGGAGGGTTTTGATGATGGACAAGCCTGGAATTGGGGTAAGCAAACCCCAGTCTATGCAGGAGGCAGTAAGGGCATCCCAGCAGTACGAGATTGGATATTAACTTCTGGCTTGAGTGAGTTTGACCACTGGGTAAGCCCTAGCCTGGGAACCTGGCCCGGTTCCAGGGTCCTTTTCAGCTAAAAATAGAGAAGGATCTGCTTCAGCTAATTTTAGTTTGAGGCATCTGGGAAGTAAATTCTGCCTGTATCTGGAGGTGTTGGGACTTAATAGTTCAGGGATTTTACATTTCTTGCTTTATTATCCAAAGTTGTGCGTATAAAAAGCACTTTAATAATCCCCTTTAATTAACACCATTTCATTTCATTCTTGTAATAACTCTGGTAGATTTTCCCATTTTGTAGATGACTCGGGTTTAGAGAGATTGAAAGTGACTTGCTTGTCCAGGTCTTCTCAGTGAGAAATAACAGTATGTGCTCTGGAATTAAACAGCCTTGACTTTTAACCCTGACCCTGCCGTTTAGTAGTGTATTGCTTAACTTCTCTGAGTTCTGAGTTCCTCATTTGTGGAATAGGATAATGGAAGTTAATTCATAGGGTTCTTGTGAGGATGAAATGTGACCTGAAATTGCCTCATTTTATTCTTGGCATCCAGTATGTACTTGATGACCTGTAGTTTTCACTTCTTTTTTTCATTTGTTTGAGGAACTACTAGATGTAGTCCTTATCTTCTAGGAAATGAAATTTAACTCATTTGGGTTGTTAGCCATCAGGTGTTGTCTGGCAGCAAGAGTAGATGCTAAGACAACGAAATCAGTGTTTGAAGGGCTTTCTAGAGAGGTCATCTTTGGTTGCATGGTACCTGGCGCAAAGGCTTGTTGTAAATGATTGTTGAACTCCCTAAAGATGAAAATTGGATCTTAACTGGATTGATAATAGCCTAGTAATTTTTCTTAGGTTTGATTTTGGAGCTTTTGGAAAGGAAAGGTGAGTTTTGGTGAGTAATAACAATACCTTCTGGTGCCCAGTCAGTGCTTTTAAACTAATTGTTAAGCTCTCAGGTTGGCTTTGATTTCTACAAGTTTATTTCTAAGCTGAGGTAGTCAGAAGACCTTGTGAACATAAATAGCTGACTCAAATGCTGGCCCTAGGAAAGTCTTCTAAGGAGAACCATCACTTTCTCATCTTTATCTTCTTGAGCTATTAGCAAGTGAATTTACTATCTAAGGTCATATTTAGAAAAGACAAATAGCTGTGAGACCTTCCTCTGGAAGTTTATTGAGGACTAAGGATAATGTTTTTCTTAGTATCATGTGAAAAAAGTAGCAGTTTACTGACACCTGGAATTTCTAATGTGAACTTCAGATCTGTAAAGTTTTGTAAAAACAGCACAATGGTTTTTATTCAGTAAAGTGACATTTGATAGGTTTTTCTTTGGATTCATAGGGTGTTACGGGTATTCAGGCAGTTATTTCAATGAACACATCAACCTTTAAAACTGTGGACCTGTTTGTACTTGAATTAACTGATTGGAGCCCTTCTTAAACTTCAGTGTGCAAAGAATGGCCTGGGGAACTTGTTAAAAATGCTTATTCCTGAAGGTGTCTTCTCCAGTCTGGGCAGGGCCTTGGAAAAAGCAGGTGGTTCTGATGATACACATTTTACATAATCTCTCTGGATAATGAGGATAAACTCAAAGTTAGGAAGCTTTTTTTCCTTGTATTTGGAGTCTTGGGAGCTTTTACATTTTAAAATCACTGGTAGATGAAAGTTCTATTATTAAATTACCCTTGGTCACTTTTTCTTCCATTGAACACAGGGAAAATCACTGGTAGATGAAAGTTCTATTATTAAATTACCCTTGGTCACTTTTTCTTCCATTGAACACAGGGAGTAATTGGCTCACAACAGTGGTTCTTAAACCATCAGAATCGCAAAGAGAGTGAAGTTTCTGATTCAACAGATCTGGAGAAGGGCCAAAGAATGTGCATTTCTAACAGATTTCTAGGTGTTTTTGAAGGCTTATAGGTGGGGGCCACATTGCAGGACAGATACTAATCATAAAGCTCTAGCTTCATCCTGAGCAGGTGATAAACACATGCCAAGAAAGCATTTGGAAAGTGGGTCAGACCATAGAAAGAGCAGATCACACCTCCAGCCTCAAGACTGATGATGCCAGGCTTGTACATTACGTGGAAAAGTGGATAGACTTGTCCACATTATTTGTATAATTTTTTTCTTTTAAAACTCAAATTGCATTTATGCCTATTGTGTTTGTGTATAAGTACTATTATTATTATTTTTTGTTATAGAAGGCAGCTGTTTTAACTGCTTTTCTGGGTTGTAGTCAAACTCCCTGAGACTTGTGTTGTCTTCTCAGGGACTTCCCTTCTCAGGGACTTCCCAGCCTGGATAGGTATAATTAGTACCTAAATACACATCTGGTTTCAACATGACAGTTTAAAGTGACTTAAAATTCCTCTACCTGTTTTTTTTTCTTTTCTGTAAATGGAAATGTCTTTGTTCTTTGGAATTATTTTGGCCTTAGCATTTTGCTCTGTGTGTGTGTGTTCTCATGACTTTATACAGTGTGGCTCATATAAAAAAAAAGATTGGGGAGTCATTTCCTTTTAGTAGAGAAAGTTTTTATTTCAGAGTGAATGCTTAAAAATTACAGTTGTTATTTTGGGAATGTGCAAAATTCTCCACTTACTCCTCAGCATAGTCATCTAGATAGTTGTCCAAAATGCCTTGTTTTACTTAATGACTTCCTAATAATGTTTTAGACTGCTTGGGATCTGCTGTATCAGACGTGGACTTCACAAGGGGCTAGGGGTAGTAGGTCTTGGAAATATTTATGATAAGCTTATTACCTGTAAAGTATATGCAGAGAATTAAGAGACATTGTCCACACACCTAGGTACTTATGGTCGAGTTGAGAAATAGATGGATGCAGGTAAATACATTCAGGACATTGATACAAGAGAGATAATAAACCTTTGTATGATACACACATTGAAAAGCAATGTGTTTTTGGTGATGGATGGAATAGGGAAAGAAACTGCAGTATATCTTGGCAAAGGGAATGAGAATTACTTGTTTGGACTGAGATTTGGAAAAATTGGAGGTCTCTTGCAACATTTTATCAGTTTGAGGGAAGGTAATTTGGAATTATATCATAAGAATAATTTTAAGTGCTATTTCTTCACACCTGGTGGGCTTACAGTCATTAAGCAGCTCTAAGTGCCAGGTTTCATAGGGGTTGTGGAGGTTATATTGATGAATTTGTAAACAGTGTTTTTGATAATAGCTCTCTGAAGTGGGAATTAGCTTCAGCTTTAATGTTATTACCTTTCACAATGCATCCTTCTTTCCAACCTCTTTAACCTTTACTGTAAATAGTGAGTCAGAAGAACAAATAGTCTGGATTCCTTAAGAGCTGCTTAGAGATAAGTGTGTGGGGGGCAAGTTAAAAGCAGGAAGAAGAAGGGGGAGAAGGGGGAGTGTGGAACTGGGTTTAGTGGATAGTCAGGGAATTCTTTGGGGGCATCAAAACAAAACTGGGAGCAATAGCTATGAAAGGTTCCCCATTATGAGATGAATTACTTTAGCTGGAGTTCCAAATGTTACATCTGCTCTTGATTAACCTGTAGTTTAGCCAAGTCCTGGGGAAGGCAAATGATAAACTCATTGTTTCTAGGATTGTGTCACATAAAGGTATAATGAAGAAGGCAAGAACTAGATTTCTTCATGGCTAAAACAATTTGTTTACTCAGGAAGGTTTTTCATTCCTTTTAGAAAAAGATTAGAAACGAAAAGCTTAAGGTTTGGATCTGCATGTGCTAAGAATAACCAAGCCAGTGAGAGCCTTCTTACTTTTTAAGTCAGTGGGAATTATATGTGCTTTGAATTTTGTGGAAGCAGGAGAATAGTAGGAAATAAGGAAATAAGTTACCTTTTCCTTTTAGGATAAACATTTCATCAGTAACTTGTTTCTGAAGTTAGTGACTTTACTGTCCAGATTTGCAAAAATACAAAATACATGTCCGTCATGTGTCTAATTATCTGATTTTCCCCTCTTTTCTAGGAGGTGTGATTGCCTATATCAGTTCCTCCAGCTCAGCCTCTAGCCCTGCCTCCTGTCACAGTGAGGGTTCTGAAAATAGTTTCCAGTCCTCCTCCTCTTCTGCTCCGTCTTCTCCAAATAGCTCTAATTCTGATAGTAATGGTAATCCCCAAAATGGTGATCTCTCCAATATTGAAGGCATCCTGAAGAATGATCGAGTAGATTGTTCTGTGAAAACAAACAAATCGAGTGTTCCTGGAATGATGAAGAGTCATAGTGGAGTGACAAGTAAGTTACTTTAGTTTTTTAAAGGATGGTGCCATTAATTGCAGGTGGGGCTTATTTTATCAACTTTTCATTTGGGAGACCATTATATTTTTTGAGTATAGTTTTCATTTCCTTCTGGTAGTCATAGTTTAGTAGTTTGATATGAAATCAGTGATGATTTTAAAAGTTAAAACTTAGGGGCTATCGTAATTGTATCTTGCACAGAGCAAGCTATGTGGCTGTGTTCTTTTCCTGACCATGTTTACTTTGGGATACTCCCTTTTACCACATTTTCCCAGTTACTTTTCCTGGACTCCCAGTACTGAATCGGTTCCTGGAACAGAGTACTTACTCATTGTGGGAAGGGGTTTGCTTTCATGAAGTTGCAGTTGGGAACATTTGGGAGTAGGAAACAAAGCAATATTGGGATGAGTAGTGAAATTTGGACCCTTAAATGAGTGTGGAGGTAAGATGGGCTCCTATAGGGGAGGATCTGGAAGCAATGGGACCTGTCTGGTGCCTGTAGGTGAATTAAACTGAGTATCTGTACAGCAGCCTGTGCAGACATCTATTTAGACCTTACATTTATTGACTTCTATGCCTGACTTCTTAATTCTTATTTATAACTGTTTTCTTAGTTCTGATTGCATATTTGGGATAAAGTAACTCTGGATTTATAAGATTTCATTCAACATTTAAAATCATCAGGAAAGTAAGAAAACTCAGCTTTCTGAAATATTTTTGGCAGTCTTATAAAGTGCTATTTAAAACTGCTATTTAAAAGAAAACTATAATTTCTTTGGATTTGTTAATTTGGTGTAAATATTTTTCTTTTATATTATGAAAGTAGATCTGTATCTTAAAGTACTTAAAAGTTGAGCACAATAAAACACTCAACTGGAAAGAAACCAGTTGACGTTTTTCTTGCAGCTTTTCACTTCTGTGTCTGTTTGTGCCTTAGAATTTAGTGGCATGGTTCTGCTGTGTAAAGTCTGTGGGGATGTGGCATCAGGATTCCACTATGGAGTTCATGCTTGTGAAGGCTGTAAGGTAAAGCATGCTTTTGTTTCTTTTAGCTATTGATTCTGGGATTAAAGAAATTGGAGTTAGGTGTGTTAGTTTCCACACTCGATAATCTGGGAGGAGGAGAGAAGCCAGGTGCTACTCTTAAAATTTTAAGCATTTTATATAGTGTATAAACATAACTTGTTTTTGAAAAATAATGTTTCTATTCAGTGAAAGTATTTCTTGAAGATTTTGACTAAAGTAAATCTGCTGTCCAACTGAAACTTAATTATAGTTTGACATACTAATTATAGGTGCACAAATGCTTATGTCAGGCACTTCTTGGTAGCGGGGAAACAGCAAGGAGTGAAACAACCTCAGCACTGCAGCCTTGTGGGAATTTCTAACAGAAATTTAATAATTAGTTAATAGGTCGCATTAGGCACTTTCACATTCTGACTGGTCAGGTCCTGGGAGTTGGTAATAATTCCTGGATACCTGTAAAAATGTGGAATATTCAGAAGTAATGCCAAGTGAGTAAAAGAATCTTGAATATAAATGGAGCACTCGGGAAAGCTCATTCTATTTTAAGTTTGACTATTTCTTAGAGTGTCAGTCAGATAATTCCAAGTGAGATACTCTATACCTCCTATTTATATCTAGGGAATCTCTCTCTTAAAATCTGGCACAGGCCTTTCTCCAGGGTATCAAAAATTAACGTGGCTAAGATGCATGCTCTTGGTGTTCCCTGACTGAAAGCCAGAAGCAGGAATCAAGTTTGGCAGGATATGGTGGGTGAGCAAGATAAAGAATACACTTGAAGAAAGAAGTATTTTCTGGGGTGACTAAATGAATTATGAGTTTGGTAGCTCTTAATGGTGACCAGGTCTTTTCACAAGACTAGTCAGTATTTTGTATAGATACAGAACTTTTCTACTTTTAAAATTTCATCATAGTTGTGTTTTGTTTTGTGTTACAAAGATGTCAAGTAATTGTGGGGCAAGCATCCTCACTTTCTAGCTAGGGAAACAAAAGCACAAGCAAATGAGCCCAATTGTGTATTCTTGAAAAATATACATAATTGTTCTATACCCTTTTAAAGATTTGTCCAGCTCAGGTATCATAGTGTTCAAGTATAGCAGTAACAAAGTATAAAAATACTATATTCCACAGTTACTAATATAGATTCATGAAGTGTGTGCTTAGTTATGATATTCAAGGAACCTGCAGTTTAAAATCATTTTGGTAATTGTGTGCTTGACTTTTCTGTTCTCCCTGGAACCATTTAGGTGGAGGTCTTTGAAGACCTATCACAGATCATGTTCCTTGAATTGTTTGTATTATAAAGGCAGTTATTTGTAGCCATTTGCTGGGAACTCCCTTTCCTGGGGTCATCAGTCTGTCTGTGGGTGTGTGGCAGGACACTTACTTACCTGTTGCTCACAAGTAACCAGGAACACCTGGCACATACAGGTAGGCTTACTTTTGTCAGCAGATAATGATCCAGGAAAGATCAAGTTTGACTAATGTAATCGTTCTAGTGAGGGAATGGAATGCATTTCTCTGTCAACTCTTTAAAAATCAGTCATTTGTATTTTAAGAGTTGTGGGATTTGTATGTGATTAAAGTGTAAGCTGGAAACTATGGCTCCAGCCAGGGGCTGGTAGTGGTAAAGCATAGATGGGGGTGCTTGGGTAAGCACCAAGAGTCTCCAAAAGGAAGAAAGCAAAGAAGAGTTTTATTTGGTTGATAAGCACAGTTGCTTATGGTGGATACCAGGAAGAATCCAGTTTGGTGCTATGTGTCAGTGTTATATTTCCCTCTGTTCTGAGCCAAGATTATTTCCCAGGTAGCTAGTAATACACTGGATAGGTGGAGGTGGGGGAGTGCTTACAAGGACGTTTTAAGTGAATGAGTACATCTTCCTTTGTTCTTAGGGTTTCTTTCGGAGAAGCATTCAGCAAAACATCCAGTATAAGAAGTGCCTGAAGAATGAAAATTGTTCTATAATGAGAATGAACAGGAACAGATGTCAGCAGTGTCGCTTCAAAAAGTGTCTGTCTGTTGGAATGTCGAGAGATGGTACATTCCCAGTTCAAAGAATATTCTTTAATAAATAATATCCATATTCTTTAATGCATATGGAGCTTGACTTTTAGTCCTCAGCATAAACCAGAGCTATAAGCCAGTTACCAATGGAGCTCTTGTGCCTAGGGAGAAGCATACTTTAGAAAACACATTTTGATGTCTTGTAGGATGCCAAATTTGTGAAGTCAAATTTTAGCATCACCACCCCACAAACAGCTTTTGGCTCATTTCTTTCTTTTTTTTTTTTGCTTCTTGTAAAAAGAGCCATTTTTTTCCTATACAGTTGGAATACTTTCTGTTTTTTTTTCCTGAAAGAAGATTTAGTTTTTCTTGGTACAGAAAACCTTGGCTCTTTCTCCTTGATTTCTTAGCATTCCTTAAGAAATCCATTTTTTCCTTATGTGCATTATTATCTCTGTCACTGTCACAGCCCTGAGATGATAATGTGCTTTTAGGGTACAGATTCTGAATATATTCAAAGGAGATGTAAAATTGCAAGAAACATTAGGGTCTGGAGTGGAGGTGGTTGCATAATTTTGGCATGGTTCATTTCCACGGAAAATAAATGTGGTGGTAATTTGGGGGACTGTTATCTGTAGATGACATCACTGGAAGAGATATGACTCTTCTATTCTAGGAGAGAGTATTTTTGGATAGTCTCATTCTATTCTAAGCAACATATGAAAGAGTCTGAGGTTTTCAGAGGGATTAGTTTAGTAGGGTTAATTAAGAATAGCTAATAATGAGCCTCATATTTATAGGGGATCATTTAAGCAATCTCTTAGGTTACTCTAATATTTCACTGACACAGAAATACTGTAGTACAGTAAGGAGGAGCTCCCTGAATGACAGATTTCAGCAATTGATGCCTTGAATTTCCATTTGCCTGAATTTTTTTTTAATAGCTCTAGATATACTAATCCAAAGTTGATGGTTTTTGTGGTTGCTCCAAAGGAATAAAAATGGCATCATTTGTGAAGGAGGGAGTAGAGGTAGTGTGACACCTGATAAAATTGTGATAGCAATAGTGTCAGAGGCTACAATTGGATTAGTAAGGCTTTCTTGTGGGTGGGTATATTGAATTCTTATTATCTCTGTATAAATGTTAGTCTAGAAAGAAACTTTTCTTATGCTCAGGGATAGGAATATTGGAGAAAGGACACATTCTCAGATTAGCCTCTAAAATAATGAGCGATTTCATTTTTATTTTTTTTTATTGATTTTAAATCCAGCAAGGTTATTTTCCAATAACTGCATTTCTATTGACCATTCATATATATATTTTTAAAGATGTTCTTTTTTAAGAAGCTAGAAAAAGAGCAGATTTAATAGTTGGTTCTTGTTGCGTATTGAGAACAAGGTTATGAAAATGAATTGACAAAGGTCAGATGTTTAGGGAGTGATTGTACTTACTTGGTTCCATTAATGTTAATGGATGTGGGTAGCTGAATCCCATGTGCCTTCTGAAGAATAGAGCCTTCATCCATGTTAATAAAGTTGTAATGCTGGTCTGCTTCAAACTGTGACTTTTATTAATTAATTTCAATTTTTTCTTTGATTTTGTTTATAAAAATACCCTAGAGATAGATCTTCTCTTTGTTTTGGAAGGAAAATGGAAATTCTCTCCTGCCTCTCACTTCCTATGGTACATCAAAAACATAACCAGCAAGTTTAGAATAATTTGGGTCAGAGTCAAGTAGATATTCTTTACTTGAATGACTAGAGGCAATCGCTATTAGAGATATTTTTATGTTATTCTTTTGTATGAATAGGTCTTTAGAATACAGATGTTCATTATCTTTTTCTTCCATAGCTGTTCGGTTTGGTCGTATTCCTAAGCGTGAGAAACAGAGGATGCTAATTGAAATGCAGAGCGCAATGAAGACCATGATGAACAGTCAGTTCAGTGGTCATCTGCAGAATGACGTGTTAGTAGAGCATCATGAACAGACAGCCTTACCAGCTCTGGAACAGTTACAGCCCAAGCCCCAGCTGGAACAAGAAAACATCAAAAGCTCTTCTCCTCCCTCTTCTGATTTTGCAAAGGAAGAAGTGATTGGCATGGTGACCAGAGCACACAAGGATACCTTTCTGTATAATCAAGAGCGAGTAAACTCCGTAGAGACCATTCAGCCCCAGAGAGAACGGATTCCCAAGAACATGGAGCAGTATAATTTAAATCATGACCATTGCAGCAGTGGGCTTAGCAGTCATTTTCCTTGTAGTGAGAGCCAGCAGCATCTCAATGGACAGTATAAAAGGAGGAACACAATGCATTACCCCAATGGGCATGCCATTTGTATTGCAAATGGACACTGTATGAACTTCTCCAATGCATATACTCAAAGAGTATGTGATAGAATTTCGACAGATGGATTTTCTCAGAATGAGAACAAGAATAGTTACCTGTGCAACACTGGAGAGAGAATGCATCTGGTATAGTGAATCAGTTTTTTTACCTACCTTACATCAAGGGAAGCTTTGAAGGTTTTATTTTATTGGGGATATAGCAACCTCAGGGACAGGGGTGGTGACAGAGAACCTAATAGATGTAAAAGTCAATTTTGTGCAGTATTTTAGGTCAAATACTTCTAACATACATCGTTTGTTGAATGACCTAGTTTCATGCAGTGCGAGGTTCCAAGCATGTGATTTGATTGATACTGTGATTTGGATTAGGATTTTATGTAAAATATGGATCATGCAGAATTGGTCCTTTAATTCTTAGAAATCCCTTTCAGAAGTTAAGTATTCAGATTAATAACTACCTTACTAGCTTTGGGATTTGCTCAAACGGCTGATCTTTTAGCTTGGCACAACCAGTAATTCTTTGATTTCTGTGAAAAGAGTTTCCTTTAACCATTATAATGCAAGAGCTCTCTGGATATAGAACATGGTTGCTTTACTGTCTGAGAATTTAGGACTACCTTAATATACTAGCTCTAGGATTGTCTCAGGATAGCTAAGGATTTTCTCATCCTGTGAGATGAGTTAATGTTATTTATATCATCCAAGTATATTTTATCAAATACAGCAGTTTACATGACAGTACAGTGTTTTTATTCAGCCAGAATCTCATCAAAAACAGCAGTACTATCATTTCTGGTTTAAACCATGAGGTCCTTTGATAGTGCTTGCTATTTTCTATAGCCAGGTAATCAAAGTTTTTTTTTTTTCATTTTCAAAATAGTTGACTCAACCCCAGTTCTTATGTTAGATTTTTTTTTTGTCATTTGTGAGTATTTGATTATATGGATCTGAAAGGTGACCTTATATTTTATTAGACTTAGTGGCTGCCTTATGGAGGGAAATATCTGTAAGCATTTAGGTTCCCGTTTTGTGATAGTCTCCATGGTTATGGAATCATCCCATTCATGGATCGCCTCTGGATTTAGTGAACATTAAAGTGCTGATTTTACTGATAGAGTACACATTGTATGTTAATAATCTTTTTAAGTGTCTTTATGCCTTCTTTGGCTTCTTATTTTTGGCTCCCCAATCCTGATTTTGAAGGTGCACCTTGTATCTCCAGTCATTGTTTTCCAATTGAACAACTAGAGGTCAGTGGGTATACCATTGTTTATGAAATAAATGGTCAGTGACCCTTTGTAGAAAGTGAGGCATCTCACTATATTTTCCTCTTTGAAATTACAGCATTGTAGTTGTGCCCATTTAGAAAAAAGTATGTTTTGAGATATTAGCTAAATAATGGGCTTGGGTTCTAGGCCTGTGACTTCTAGCTGTTTTTGGACAGGTCACTAAACCAAACTTCTTAGAGTTTCATTTTCTCATTTAAGGATAAGGTAATTATAATATCTGCTATAACTAAGTAATAGGTTGAGAATCCAGGTAATATGTATGAATTTGTTTGAAAACCATAAAGCCAGCATAAGGTGGCAGTGGTGTTACTAAATAAACCTGTGCACCAGGCTTTTGATATAGCTTGTTACAGATCTTGTTTTTGCTTAGACTGCCTCTTTTATGATAATAAGATAATTGCTATTTAAATTAAGTTGCCATGAGGCTTTCTATAGTGAGGCAAGTAGCACATGGAGAAAGTGCTAGTATCAGTAGATTTTACTTGTGTCTGAGGGTTATTTTCATGTTGGGGTTTCTAGTAATGAGATGTCACTTTTGAAATTGCTTTATCACTTTTCACAATTTTGAGTTTTCCTGTTTTGTGCATACTAGGTTTGTCCAATGAGTAAGTCTCCATATGTGGATCCTCATAAGTCTGGGCATGAAATCTGGGAGGAATTTTCAATGAGTTTCACCCCAGCAGTGAAAGAAGTGGTGGAATTTGCAAAGCGTATTCCTGGATTCAGAGATCTGTCTCAGCATGACCAGGTCAACCTTTTGAAGGCTGGGACTTTTGAGGTAGGTTTTATTTATCCTGGCTATTGATGCAGGGCATATATTGTTTAGTTTTCATGCACATTTTCATTCTTTTCTAAATAAGTATAGTCCAGAGGCTGAAACTGCCAACAGGAGAATGACTATCTCAGGATCTTGGAAAGAGACTAAGTAAATCCAGGTTACTTAGGACTTGAAATATAAATGCTCTGTGTACCCAGTGTAAGAATGCCAGGTTTCTAGTATTGCTTTCATGTATGGATTTGATAGGTTTTCAGTGTTAGACACCTACTGAAAGCCTAGCCTGGCATTTATTGTGTTTAGTACAGAACACAAAGTATAAAAAGAATGTGGTTTTTGTCTTTTAAAAGACTAGAATATTTTGGGGATGTGTCAGACTTCTCTTATGTGCCACCTCAGATCCTCTTGGCCTCACCTCACTCTAGAATCTTTGGCTACATTCTCTGCTCCAGCTTCTGTTGGTGGGATGTGTCCTGCCTGAGCTGGGGGCAGCCATTCTTGTCAGCCCTCACAGGACACAGAAAGCGCCTCTCACCTGTCTGCCCCAGGGTCTCCCTGTTGCTGCTGAGGTGTGAGAAGCCTCAGGACTTGCTCCAAGCTTACTTATTCATTATCTGAAATGTAAGGTGGTGGGTGAGAAGTTCATATGTGGTGGGCCAAATATTTGTTCAGTGGGGGAAGGGAGCCTGTGGGGTAGATTTCCAGTCATGTCCCTGACAGTTCCACAAGAGTGAGCTTTCAGTTGTTGATACCCAGTGGCGGCGGGCTCAGTATGCATCCTCCTGTGCTTGCTCTCTTCCCTTCCCTGTCTTGTTTCCTTTTCTCACACTCCTGTGTTCACAGGTGCCAGGGCACACACCATGTAAACTTTCACCTTAGGTCTGGTTTCTGGGGCACCTGGACTAGAACAAAGAAGCCACATTCATAAATAAAATAGCTATGGTGTAGTTCAAGAGTAACACCTGTATGTCAGGGTTTTCAGTTTAAAGGAGAACATTAGATTTAAGATGTAAAACCAGAAGGGATGTCAGTGGTTAAGTTCAGTTCACTCATTTTTTAGGTTAGGTAACTATGGCCCAGAGAGGCAAAGAGACTTTTCTTGGATTACCAATAAATTAATAACCAGTCAGTCTAGAACACAAATTCCAGACTCCCGGGACTTGTGTTCTTTCTATCTTATGATCAGTATTGGGATTGCTGTGTTCCAGAGTTAACACCGTCTTCATAGAAGGCTTACTCTTTTTGGATTGTCTTGGGTAAAAGAGGTCTTTATTTGGGTACATTGCAAAGGGAAGATGTTTGTTGAGTGTTCTCTGCTTATGAAAGAAACACATGACATAGATACACCATTTAGTGTAGTGGAGGGAGTGCTGTAGTAGATAAGCAGTTGTTGCCTGGTTTGTTTTCGATTTCAGTTGTAACTTAGTATCCAGAACACTTAGACACTGCAATGGTTCTCTTCATATGTTATCTTTTTGGGTTATGGTCTCATGAAATAGTCTAATTAGAGTTCTGCTGCTGCGTTTGCCTTGACTGCCTTTGGTGTTTTGATATTTCCAAGTGTTGTTGCATTGAAACATTGCTCTTTACTTAGGGCTCACAGACAATGAGATACCCTTGGTTGCTTAAAGAGATTCTTTAATGCCTTTGGCAAAGCTCAGTTTCAGATTTCTTGGCATCATTGCCTGCTTTAATTTTGTACTTGCATTTCAGAATCTTTATTAATAGAGCTTCAGAGTATCACAGGACTCAAATATTTTGCCACTGGTGGCTGGAATTTTTCTTTGATGTTCTTCTTGGAATATATATTGCCTTGGTAGAGAATTTCCCTTAGGGAAATGGTTCTGGATAAAAAAATAAATTCAGTTTTTCTTTTACATCTGTGGGAGGTTCTTAACTGACTTGAACACTCCGTTATTTCTTAGTATTTATTGAACTCCTCCAGGTACATTTAAGTCTTTTTCTTTTTCCAGGTTTTAATGGTACGGTTTGCATCATTATTTGATGGAAAGGAGCGTACTGTCACCTTTTTAAGTGGAAAGAAGTATAGTGTGGATGATTTACACTCAATGGGAGCAGGGTATCTGCTAAACTCTATGTTTGAATTTAGTGAGAAGCTAAATGCCCTCCAACTTAGTGATGAAGAGATGAGTTTGTTTACAGCAGTTGTCCTGGTATCTGCAGGTAAGCAAGCTGGCTCAAAGTGAGCCACACCTAGAATATAGTGACCAGTGGGGAAGAAGGTGGCAGTTAACTAGGCTCCAGCAAGCTAAATAGTGGGGAGAAGGCCTTTAGGAATATGCTTAACTATGTGAATCTGTTTTCTTTGTATAATTAATTTTTTTTATCTTGATGGTAAAAGTCAAAAGTCCCATATGGTAATAAAATTGTGATCTGGCCTCACATTTAACACTCTTAGCCTTTAGCTTTGGTTTATAATTCTTTACAAGTCTAAACCATTGTTGGATAGATTTATTTTTTTGGAACGTTGTGTATCTACAGGTAGGTGGCTCTAATATGAATCTAAGTTTTAATTAAAATACTATGTGGGTTACTTGAAAATGTTAAAACTATCAAGTGTGGTTATAAAAATCAGTGAATTATGTATGAGTGGTGGCTTTCACCCAGTTTTGCCATTGAATTTTCTGTGTGATTGGATAAATAATCGTATCCTTTGGGGACTTGGCTGCCTCACCCCGTGGAAGGGAGTGTGCTGTGTTGAGCCAGCATGAGGTCTGACCCAGAAGAGTCCGTCACTGTGCGAAGGAGTGACCAAGACTTCTGACATCTAATGTTTATTTACATGGGTCATTGATGATGTTTCCCAGTTTTCCTGCCACCTTGCATTTATACTGCAGTTACTTCTGACCAAAGTATTTTAAATTCAGACAATAGATATTAAGGCAGAGATTACTCCTAAATTACAAATTGGAAATTGAAACAGTGACTTTGCTGGGGACATGTAAGTAAGTGCCACCCATTACTAGTTTATAACTTTATTTAAAAATGTTTGTTGAGAATTTTAGAATATTTTTATATGACTTACTCTACTTCCCATTTGCTTACTACTGTGTAAAAGGCATTATGAGGGTTATAAGGTACATGCTATGTCCCTGACTATGTGGTTTAACTACAAAGTCAGTAATTCTTAAGGAGAGTAAGTTCTTTATATATGTTAAAGGGTTATAATAAGTGCCATAAATAAAGACTTAACGCCATTTGGAAGCATAACTTGGTGGCCTTTTCAGATCAGCTCTACTTGGGTAGCTAAAAACACACTTCTGTGGGAATAGAGTAAAAGCGCAGGGATACGCTAATGCCTCATGCACTTTGCCTACAATTTTGTAGTTTGATACGTAATTAGTAATGTTTGAATTGACATCAGATTAATAAGTACTATTGTGAAACTGAAGGTAATCCATTCATATTAATTTATCTAATTAATACGCCTTCTGTGCTGGGTGCTCAGGGGAAGGCAGAGCAAGTGTTAAGACAGGTTTGCTCCTGAAGTATTTATGTTCATTTGGAGAGGCAGAACCAGCACAAAAAGCTCTATGGTACTAAATTGTGTGGTTCTGACTGAGGTAAGTAATAGTTATAGGAAGGAAGGTGAAGTCATCTCAGAAGGCTTTGTAGGGAAGACGGAAGTGGAGTTGGAATTTGAAGGGTGGGTTATTGGGTTTTCCTGGCGAAAAAAAAAAAGATGGAATGGCATGGGAAGACATGAGCTAGGGCAGGGCAGGGGGCAGGTGGTCAAAGCCTGATGTGTACCTCACGGAGGAGGGGGACAGAGGGCTTGTGAGTTAGGGGAGCGCCGGTTTATAGAATGACAGCTATGAGAGCTAAGCCCAGAACTTACAGCTGAAATACAGGACAGTGGCAAGTCAGTGTAACTTCTTAAGTAGGGGAATGATGAGGCACAAACAAAGTGATGCTTGACATTAGCCCTGCATTTTTATCCTGGGTGGGGTAGACTGTAAGTCATGTTATCTGGAGAGCCAGGTTGAGAAGCTGCTGAAATAACTTCAGGTGTGAGGCAGGGGAGCAAGCTCTGCTGAGGGAGGTTTGGGCAGAGGCAGCAGAGGGGCTCCATCCCAGAGCTAGTTCAGAGGAAGAAATGAAGGCGGAGGGAGGGTAAGGGCTTCATATGCCAGGTGCTGTGTACTCTCTTCACTTATATTTTTCACCAGGAGCATGATTTTTATTTCATTTTAAGTCCTTTTGGAAAAGTCTTGTTTTGTTTCCTGATCATAAGAATAATACAGGACCTTTGAAAAATTAGCAAATATTAAGATGAAAGTAGAGATGAAAATATCACTACTAGAAAAGATCACTGTTAACATCAGGGTCTCTTTCCATTTACCTATCCATCCGTTTACCCATTTGCTTGCTTTGATACATGGTATGTAAAAAAAATTTGATAGATAAGTAGAAAAAACTGATTATAAAAGAATACAATACATTTTTATTGTTTTGTCTGTATATGGAGATATACAAGCAACATATACATACATACATAGTTCCATGCATTTTAAAATAATAAGTTGAGTCCACTTAAACATATGATAGTGTTCATGTCAAATTTAAATCTTTACCACTTTACAAGGACTGTTGCTATTTTTAAGCAGTGTCTAGGCAGGAAAATAAAGTTCAACAACTACAGGGGAATATAAAATGAAAAGTTTCTTCTTCCTTCTACTCCAAGCCTGTTCTTCAGAGAAATAGATTTCTAACCATGTTTCTTTTTAATTGTTCTGATGGTTGCTCACCCAACTCTAGAAACTATGTGTATATACTTCCTCTTTTTATTTAGTAGATATAATTGATAAATAATAGTACCTTCTCACTTTGCCCTCTCAATTGTTACATTTTATTTTTACAGTTACTGTATTGGTTTTATTTATAATTTTAATATGTTCACATTCTTTGGACTCTTTTCCTCATATAGGAAATCAGTATCTCCTTTCTTCCATATCCTGGCTTTTGCTATACCACTTCTTTTACATTGTCAAGTATTAAAACATTTACATTCTGTTCTATAGCTGTGATTAGTTTCCATGCTTTATTATGACTCTAAAAATTGAAAAGTTAAAAGATCAGTATTTACAGTATTATGATTATATAAATAGCACTCATAGTGTTCACACAATGGAGTTGAAATGGTAGACAAGGCGATGTAAACCTCTGCCCTAACCTGCACCACCTAAAGGGGAAATGTTCCAACTATTAGATAACAAAGGGATTATTTATTTATAGTCTCTATCAGTTGTTTAGAATTAGGCAGCATTATAGTTTGCTTTCTATTTAAAATAACTTTTTTTTCTTGGAATCTACAGTTGCCTTCTGGTTTTCATTTTGTTTTTAGTTGTCAGATAAAATGCTAGTTAATTCCTAGAACTCATTATATAATTTTATCCTCATAACAGATTTCCAATGTGAGCTAGGACATGTTGTCCTTAGTTATATAGGCAAGGGATTTGAGGAACAGAGGGGTTAAATAATTTGCCCAAGGTCACATTTTTAATAATTGACTAAGTAGGCATAAAGGCTTTCTACTATATTACTTGTTAACAGCTGCTAAGGGAGTGAGATCAATCATGACATTTCCCTATGAGACTGGAAGAATCAATACCAGAGAGAAGGGGAATTATACCTGGAAGGTAAATTCTTTTTCAGATTGTATGGAATGGTGACAGTTACTTCCAGTTGAAGATTAGGGATTGGCGTATAGGTGTGAGGCCAAGGCTCTTCTAGGTATGGATTTCAGTTGTCTTCATAGAGGTTTTTGTAGAAGGAATTTTAACTTCTATCCTGTATAGGTAGTGAATGTGCATAAGGAGAATTTGGTTGCGGGTACAGGCTTGGGAGAGAGATAAGGAACCAGTTGAGGATGTAGAAGGTAGATGTGGCATGAGTTAAATGGTACAAATAGTAAGGTAGCATTTAGTGCATCATTAAGAGGATGAACTTCCACTTTACTCTGGGCATTCTGTTGTTAGTTTCTAGATTATTGTTTGTGATCCAGCTAGATTTGTTGTTAGGTTTTTGGCCCTGAAATCATGAAACCATAGTTTTAGAAATTGAGGTGTTAGAACAATTTAATATGATTTACATTTTTAGCTATAGTGTCCATTTTCACTGCATTTCTGATTTATGTAGAGAAGCACAGGTCTTTCAAACAGAATAGTCACCAGAGGATCACCCACTACACTGCTGCTTATTACTGTTTGTCTGTCTGGATATTTTGCTTATGGGGATCACTGTCCTTCTTTCCCAGTTGTTGTTATTGTCAGTTACTGATGATATAATGCAAACCAGTTATTTTCTTCTGCTGAAATACGAGCTTTTTAAAGGAAGGAATTTTGGTTAGTTATGTTCACTGCTAATATATTACCTAGCCACCTGTCAGAGTACCCACATGCATTCAATCAGTATTTGATGTGTGAACTAACAGGTTACAAGGGCATTAAAGAAAACAATTACTTGATTATTAAAGGCAGAGAAGACTCTTAGAAGCATTATTGAAGGGCTTTAAGTAATTTTTTGGAAATGATCCTTATGATTGTGTGGCCAAAGTCAAATGTCCAGAGAAGAGGTGTTTTGTTTGTCTAACAATTATGTCTGAAAATCATGACCCCACCCCCAGTCAGTAGTCAATGTCCAATCTGTTTCTTTTCCATAAGAATTAGCACATAGTTCAAACAAGTAGTCAACAATTTGTTTCTTTTTCTGTAAGAATTAGCACAGAGTTGTAATAGTCAGATTTTACCTATTTTCATCATTTTTTCTGTATTTAGAGTTGATACTTTAATACTCTAAAAGGCAAACTTTTCCTCCTTTGCTATTAAATTTTAGTCCTTGTTCTAAGAGTTTGTACTGCAAGTGGCCTTTTTCAGCTACCAGTTACAATGTAAGGTCTTCTCAGTTTCCTTGTAAAAGATGAAAAAGATGTAAATAGCCAGAGAAGTTTGTTTCCTTTGAAGAAGTTTTTTTTTTCTTATTAATTACAACGCCCTATATGCAGAACCATAAAATATTTCTTGTGCACTGCTGCCTCCTGTTGTAAAGGGAAGAAATAGCCCTTGCCGATAAAAAAAATATAGTCTATGGGCAAAAACAATATAGGCTTGGCTACTTTAAGATACTTTTTTTTATTGCTGGTTTGTATTAAATCACGAATTTATTAACATTTTGTATGATAAGCTTAATAAACACAGTATGCTAAATGAAAGTGAATGCAGGTTACCATAACTAGGTGATAAAGTTGAATAGTATGTTATCTATTACTATATGACAGTTAAAACTTAGTGGCTTAAAAATGTATACATTTATTATCTCACAGTTTCTGAAGGTTAGGAATATGGATGTGGCTTAGATGCCTGCCCCTTGCTCAATGTTTCTTAGGAGGTTGTAGTCCTGCTGTGGGCAGGGCTCTGGTCTCATGTAAAGGCTTTAATAGGAAGTGATCTGCTTCCAGACTTACTCATGTGATTGTTGGCAGGATTCAGTTCCTTTTAAGTTGTTGCACTGAGGGTCTCAGTTACTTGTTGGCTTTGGCTGGAGACCACCCTCAGTTCCTTAGTTTGTGGGCAGTCCTAGGGCAGTTCACAGTATGGCATCTGGCTTTTTTCAGAGTGAGTGTATAAGAGAATGCTTAAGATGGAAGCCATAGTGTTTTGTAATTTACCATTTCATGCACCTGTAGTAAGTCAGTCTAGCCCACTCAAGGAGAGAGAGTTGCACAAGCACATGGATTCCAGGATGAGGGATCACTGGAGGCCGTCTTAGAGGCTGCTGCCATGCATGGCAGCATACAGATGTCAGTATATTCTCTAGAAAGGGAAAGCATATTTCTGAACTACTACATTATTCATTTTATTTTGCCAATTAGAAACAGTTGAAGTTAGCAGATGGCATCTAATTTTAAAAATCAGAAGCTCTAGTTCTGTGAACAAAAATACCTAAGCACTAAAGGATTTTGACTTATCAAGTGTGCTATGTGATATATATCTTTGCAATATAATAGCTACAAAAATTTGCTGTTGAACTTTAAAATACTTTGTCTTTTGCTTTTGCTCCAGTGTATAAAACCTTATTTTGAATTCATTAATGAGATTGATGAGCATAGATGAGCATGGGTTGTATTTAATGTTAGTATTATGTACTGCTTTTCATATCTCTCTATCCTTTATTCTCCATTAGATCGATCTGGAATAGAAAACGTCAACTCTGTGGAGGCTCTGCAGGAAACCCTCATCCGTGCATTAAGGACCTTAATTATGAAAAACCATCCAAACGAGGCCTCTATTTTTACAAAACTTCTTCTAAAGTTGCCAGATCTTCGATCTTTAAACAACATGCACTCTGAGGAGCTTTTGGCCTTTAAAGTTCACCCCTAAGGCCTTTGTTTATTTAAGCATGAACTGATTCATGCTAACTGTACATTTTGTGCTAAAATGCTTATTTATATGTGTATACCCTATGTGGAGATAGAAAAGACCTTTAAGACACAGAAGTGTAGGCTATCTCTGTAATCCTGTAGTAGGTGTTTGGATTGAGGTTTCTTCAGCCATGGTTAGACATCTACTGCATTTTCCTCATAGACCAATCAGCTGTGTCGCACTTAAACTGGAGAAGTTACACTGAATTAATAGTCATCAATGTTAGACTTTTTCATCTGCCAAAACCAGAAACCATTTCGATCTCCCTTTGGTACAAATATGACAAGTAATCACAAGTACATGAGGACTTAAAAATACATTCTTTGTGGTTGAAGTTCTATTGTGTGGTGAAACTTGATTTCATCACAAGACTATTTGATCTGATAATTTGGAGACTTTGGGAATTAGGATACCTCCGTGTCTGTATTTTACCTGCCACTGGTAAGTGTGTGGTCTCAGGCAGGTTAGTTGGTTGTGGAAAGTGAGAATTGATAGTGTTCCCAATGCCTCACCTTGCAGAGATACTAAAAATGACTATAAAACATATTTACCTCTTGGGAGATAGGCACTATGTAAATAAGGTAAAATTTTTGTTACGACAATTGTTCATAATAGTAGCCTTTTCTTATTTTTAAGCATTTCTGAGAAAACATTTCACAGTTCACACTGACCTGTTATTCAGGGTTCCTGCATGTGTGTGGGGTATCCTTCTGGCACACACATACTCAAAGATTATGGGTACATCAGATACGTAGGATGTGTATATAATATGTATGTGAATATAGTTATCCATAAATAGATTTCTTCACAATATTTTAAACTGTGAGGAACTTTATCATACTAAACTTAAAAGGTGTCAGAAGACCCAAATTAGGTGCATTTTACTTGTTGATAACATATCTATTGCTTTAAATGTTTAGATAGTAGAATATTGAATTTATGCTCTATTTTTGTTTATTTAAGCAACACTTAATGTAAAAGTACAACAGACAGTCAAGTCCAAATTTCAAAAACATGTATTTTAGAGTTTGTCCTTGGTAAAATCTTCAGGGTCCTAGTTGTTCAGGAGTTCATTGAGATTCTTACCTTGTACTAAAATAAAAAGGTTGCATTGCTGCCCCTTACGTACATACTGCAGCTTGATGGGAAATATTTTGATTCTTCTGGAAAACCAATTAATGTTTAAGAAAACTGTTTAATATGTTGGGGGGTATGTGGGTGTATAGGTATGTTCTTAGTCTACCTTTTTCTTCTCCTGAATAACACTACAGGGATTCTGTCAAATTAGATTTAATCTGTAATTTGAAAAATGATTTAGTGTGTGACCTATCAGCTTAGATAAGGTTCAAAGAGATTTCATCCACGTTTCAAATACTGGGCTTCATTAAATAGATAAGATCAGCCTTTGCTTATGGCAGTAGAGAAGTAGCCAAAGTTGAGGATTTTATGTATGTTTTTCTGTTTCCCTGGAAAATAGCAATTAATCGAATCTTTTGGTAAAGATTGCTTTCTGTATAACTTTTGGTTTACATAAAATCACAAAAGTGAAAAGATCCCACCTTACTGTACTCAGTCTGTTCTTTTAACCGTATGTGAGCAGAATGCCTTACTTGTGATATTGCTTAACTTGTTGCTCCTGGGACTTGAATTTCTGTGGCACTCGTTAAGTAAATTAAAAAAAGTTAAACCCTCTCATTATTAAAGAGGAAAGGTGATGGTGATGTCTTTAAATGATATAAACCATAATTGTGATTTACCTTAAATAGGTATGGCTTTTATGGGATATACAGTATAGTTTTTGTGAATTCTTTACATGATAGCATTATCTTTTTATAATTTTTTTCCTAAGATAAATGCATAGTTTTCTTCTATGGGGGATAGAAACAGCTTTTTGAAGTAATACAGAAAACCTCAGAGATCATGTTGACTCTTAATTTTTGCCTTTTGCATAAGCCTCTTTATAACATGTATCTTTAAAAGTTACTAAGTCTTTAGGAATGTGTAACCAGAACTGTGTTAGTATTGCTTAATAAAACTTTAGTTAAGTTCAATATATACATGTGTACATCTATATATAGGTATGTAGATTTGCATTTTGTCTTGTAAAATTTTATTTGAACAAATTCCTCTAGGTAATGAGAAACAAAATTAATAGTTCATATGCCACTCAGAGCATTTCTATATTGGAAAATAGCCCAGTATTGAAACTTCTAAAATTAAACCAGCAGCCAGTTTACAAGCACATTCTTTGATTGAGTCATTGTTTATAAACTTACTAAATGCAGAGAAGACAACCAGTTTTGGAAACTTCTGAGTCAGTGGGACACTGTTGATTAATTAATAATGTACTGTATGACTTAAGTGATGCTTTAACTCTGATTTTACATTTTAAAGTTAAAATATGGGCATTATGTCAGCAAACTTAAGGGCATTATGTCAGTAAGCTAAAATTTTTTTTTCTGTGCTTTTAATGTATCTCTACATGATCTGAGAGAGGATTCAAGCTTTTAGAAAGAAATAGCTGAGGGAAGGGGAAACATCTTAGGATGAAGCTTTTCTATATATAGCGATGGTTTAATTACAGATTAAAATATTAGAAGGAAATTTCAGTAGATTAAGTGTATAGCTTTTGTATCTACATGTAAAGAAATTACCATTGTAACTTGATAAGAAATGATTTATGTAAACATCATTGCAAAGCAAGGTGTAGACGCTCAGCTAGGTTTATTACTGTGCACGAGAGTAAGTACCTATCTCAATTATTCTTTTTCTTTTCCAATATAAAGTTTGCTGAATGTACAAGAAGAGTTTATCACTTAGGATATAGAATTTTTTAGGGATTGGGGAAAGGGGCTTTGTCAGGAAATAACCTGTAAACAAAGATTGTCTTGATTTGATTCGAAACCTTGAAGTCATTCTTGAACTAACATGGAAAATTAAAATGGCTATTGTTTAAAAATATAGAAATATATTGTTGACAAGATATGTGTTGTTTATTTTCTACAAACTTATTGATAAGGACATGGACAATATCTTCATGTTTCTGAAAAGTAATTGTACATGGGGGGAGGGGATAATAAATATTATTTCTAACCAAGTGTGGTTTTTGTCATTTTTCTATCTTGACAGTTTTGTAAGACCATTTATAGTTTAACTTACCACTGCCCCCACCCCTGGCAGAACTAAGAGGGTATCTTAAGGTAAGTCTCTAATTCATCAAGAGGTAATGTATATATGTAGGTCTTTATAAAAAAAAGATGTTATAGGTTTTTTGAGATTCCAGCAAGGATTGTGCTGTTTTCTGTAATGCCAGCCAAATGGTGGCTTGCTGTATCTGATAAGGTGGTCTTTCTGGGAAGATGATGAGATCCGAAGTGGGTATTGATTTGCCCAAGAACCAGCCTTGGCCATGAACGGGATGAGGTGCCTTTAGCAAGATGCCCCCACCCCCTCCCCCTTGGCCAGTGATGATAGCCATGCCAGCTAAGCTAAGGCAGTTAACACCAGCATTCCCTGCAGTTATTTCCCAAACCAGTAACATCGCTGCTTTGTAGAGATTGTAGAGATAATTGCTTGTTAGCTGGGAGTAATGGGCTTCTTGGTTAAATTTGGAAATGCTGGGCTAGACAAAGTTACTGAGACGACCATGTCCTGTTCTCTAACAAGTGAACTCACTGTGAATCCTTCAAGGAAGGTTTAGTGGGATTTGCTTTTCCCCAGACCTTCTCCAAGTAACCACCCTTGTTTCTTCCTGTGCTGAGCACTTAGAGCTCGTTGGAGATGAATAGGTGTTCCTGCTTTGTTCTTCCATTTTCCTACTGGTGTCCACAGAATTGTGTATGACCTTTACAAGTGAGGTGAGCTCTCTTTTTTTCTGTAATTTCTTTTTTCTCTGAACTCTCCTTATCCTAAACCCCAGCAGTTCCCCCACACCTCCATTATTATGTTGGTAAGTTCTCATCTTTTTCTCCCTACAATAGCCATTTCATTTCCTGTTCAGGTTCTGCAGTTACACACAAGTAGGGTAGTTTCCAAAGTGGAAAGCACCTATACTTCTGTTCTCTCTCTCCTTTGCTGCCTCCAGTGACTGTTTTTCTAAGTAGTTTTTTTTTTTTGAGAGGGCGTCTCTCATACTTACTGATCAAATGGTTGTTAACAACAATAAAATTCTGTATAGGGGAGTCAGTGCTCAATGCACAACCATTAATCCACCCCAAGCCTAATTCTCGTCAGTCTCCAATCTTCTGAAGCATAACGAACAAGTTCTTACATGGTGAACAAATTCTTACATAATGAATAAGTTCTTACATGGTGAACAGTACAAGGGCAGTCATCACAGAAACTTTTGGTTTTGATCACGCATTATGAACTATA